TATAGAAATGAAAATTTTTAATAGTAAGGGACATTTGAATTATGTCCTCACAAATAATTTAGGGACCCATCTTTACAGTGGACATTAAGATTGTAATCTTCAAAAAAAGTAATGCAGTATAACAATCATCTGGCTGATATTATGATGACCATCTAAAAAAAGAAGACAAAAAAGGTAACAAGATGTTCATTTTTGAGTAAGATGGCTTGGTAATCACTTTCCCATAGTACTTGATATCTCTTTCTATCAAAATGATTGCCTCTATAAAGTTCTATTTGCTACAATAAATACTACTTCCTGTTTCTCCCTTTCACTTCTCCTTATAACATTCCCGGTTAGAAATAGAATGCAACATATTAATATAGAGTAAGGCATCTGGAGGAATCGTTAATAAGGTCATTAATGTACCTGTATTAATAAGCACTACTATTATATAGAAGTTGCGTCCTGCTTAGCATTTATGCTCCTAAATATGGCAGCTTAAGCCAACTGAATTCTTTTGGAGTATTTATTAAGAGATTTATGGTGTCATATCCCACATGGCATTAAAATATCCCTAGATTTGATAACTTGTGCCAACCAAGAATTACAGTTTTTAGAGCATTTATTAAAAAGTACATATATATACAAGAATCTATTATAGTTGTATAAACTGAAAACAATGTAATTGATAAGATAATTTATAGAAGATTAATATGTGCTTAATAAAAATGGTCTTTCATAAACCTGGTTATGGATTCACCCATGTGGTATAAGTTGATATCTAGATAATTAAGATGGATTGGTAATGATTAAACTTATAATTAGTAGTAAATTAATATATATAAGACTGTAATGTATGGTTTGAATACAATAATTCAATAAAAACTATAATATTAAGTGCCCATTTATCTTAAAAAAAAAAAAAATAAAAAAAAAAAAAAAAAATAATTAATAATATTTTGGAGTATTTCATAAGACTTTGGGAGGTTTCATAAGGTTCTAGTATATTTCAAGAAGTTCTAAAATGTTCTCAAATATTCTAAAATATTCTAATATGTTCTGGTTATATGTTGTGTGGCATAGCAGATGCAGCAAAGTAAAAAAATTATTATATAAATTTTAATTTATATAACTGTATAATTTGTCAAAAACAATATATGTTTTGTATTATTAATATTAATAGCCTTATAAATATATAGTATATTATTTTATTTAGTCATTTTATTGTTTTTTTTTTAATAGTAAAAAAAAAGAGTTGATAAATTTCAAGTATAAAAAAATTATTGGTTTTTATAAAGCTAATAATTCTAAAAGAGCAAATTTAAAAAAAATTAAATATAATAAAACCATATATATATTTTTATCCTGACAATGTTTATTGTACTACTTAAAAAAATTAAAATTAACTTATTTCTTTTAATTAATTGATACTTGGTAATTAAAACCATAATTTATAATGTTATAATAAAATTTTATAAATTCAATATTATTTTTATTATTTTAAGAAATAGATATCTAAAAAATAAAATTCAATATAATAAATACTATTTCAAGATAATAATAAAAAATACTGTTATAAACTTATAAAAAATATATATATATATATTTTAAAATTTTTTGAAAATAATATAAATTAAAAAATTATTAAATATATTTTATATGAAATAAAATATTATAATTAAATATACTTTAAAAAATTTTTTGTTAGTAAGATTAATTGAAAAAATCAATTGAATTGAATATATAAAAAACATTTGTAAAAATAAATAATTAAAAAAAAATAGTATAAAGTAATAAATTGAAATTTATATTATTTAAAAATAATAAAAAATTTATATATAAAGGTTTTCTAAAAAAAAATATAATTCTAGTTATCTTGTTCTGATAATAAATATTATAATAAAAAAATTATATTATGAAAATATATTTTTTTGTTTTGGATTAAATCCTTTAGTTAAAATTAATAGTTGTATTAATAATTAAAAGATATATAGAAAAGATTATTAGCTATTATTTAATATTTTTTTTAGAAAAATTTAAAAAAAGTAATAATAAATATTTTTTTTAATAAAATAATATTAAAATTTATATCAATATATAAATATAAAATTTTATAAATATCTTTTTTATTATAGTTAAGGCAAAGTTTAAATTTAAATCCTATTAAGTACTTATAAAATAAGCTTAAATAATATATAAGAATAAAAAATATTTATTTAAAAAATTTAAACAAATCAAAGATTTTTTTATAAGAATATTGATTACAAACTTTAAATAATATATTTCAAAATTTAATAATTAATATGAAAAATTAAATAAAAGTTATTAAATATTTTTTTTAAAATAAATTAAATAAGTTATTGATTAATTTAAATTTTTTTAAAAAAAATTATTTATTTTTTTATTTTTTTAATGATTATTTATTTAGTAATAATTTAAATATTAAAAAAATTATGAAAAAAATATAAAAAAAAATTTTTTTTTAATATTAATTAAATATATAATTATTTATATTTTAATTTTAATAAAAAATTGATATTATATTATAATAATAATAATAATAAATTAATTACAATTATTTAAAATTTATTAAACTTTTGGCCAGGGAGAATATTATAATTACTAATTATATACATATATATTTAATTCAACAATAATATTTTTATTATAATTTTAAAATTATTTATTACTATTAATTTAATAAAAAAATTAAATTAAACAAATAAACTAAGATAATGTAAATACTTAATAAATCCCATTCACTTAGAAAAAAAAACAAATAAACTAATACGATAATAAATAACGTAGTAAATAATAATCAAATTATAAATTTTATAATAAAGAAATTTGGTTTTTAATTTAAAGTTCATACTTAAATAGTATTTGTTACGTAATTGTACAAGCTCACCTGACTATTATAATAATAACAACGTTACGTATTATCCCCACAATCTTAGCTAGAATGGGTTGCACAACGGGATAATTTTGAAAAATGTCGTGCCATTGTTGCTTAAGGTAGAGATTACATGAGCGTCACTGCGAAAAAAGGTGTTATAATTTTAATAGAGAAAGACGTACTCTTTAATTCATTGATAATATATTTCGCTTTATGATCAGCACACGTTCACATCGAACTACTTTACCTGGATAATGTTTTTCATTTTATGATGGAGATTTCTATTGCATTATGTCATCATCCTGTTAATACCCGATCCAAAAAAGTAAACTAAGCACTAACTACTTATAAGATAATCAGCTTAAAAAAATAATATAAGCAAGTTTGTATTCACGTTGGTTTATCAAACTCTTTCTCGCCTCTACCTGATTTAATTCTTTAAAATTGCATAATATTTTTAGAGCGAAACTATTTCCATCACATTGAGGTAACCCATATCATTATATCATTATATTTATTTGTATATTCGAAAAGGAAAAAAGAATGACTTTTAATCGATCATCATACCTACAGTTTTTATCCATCGACTTTAAAAATGACTGAAGTAGAATTCAATCCCATCTCTATTTACAACAAACTCACAACTTTACGCACAAAACCACAATCGGGTGGAAAAACCAATAACGGTGAGGCACAACTGGTGTCCTCTTTAAAGGTCGAAGCTGCTGCTGTGACAAAAGAGATTAATCGCTATCGGGCTTGTGTTGATAGTTCTTGTCTATATTGTCGAGAATGGACTTTATTTGTTCATAAGAAGGGGTATACTTGGGCAGCAAAAAATAAAGATCCGTCCAATACAGGAGTTATTAGAAATATTTCTGATGGCCAGACTAATGATTGTCTTTCAGATAAACCGAAAGAGGCGGCTGCCGATAAATGTCAACAATTCCATGATCTCATTGGAAATTATAAAAGTAGGCTTAAACCAACGGACATTGTTTACGAAAGATTGGATCCTTTCGATGACATTGTTCACAAGGTATTCGATTGGATCAAAGCACCAAGCAACTTGTATACTTCACCCAATCCTTTTGTTCTCGTCGAATTCGATTACCCGAATCGAGTTCATCTCAATCACGATCAAGAAAATAACAGTCCAGTCAGTTTACTCGAAAAAATGGAGGTTGAAAAGATTCACTATCAGATTTCCCGAGAAAATTTTCCTCTCTTAAAATTGGCGACTTTACCAACACAATGCCATCATACCAGGCCAGAATGGAAACATCCGTCTGAGCTCGATATCGACCGCCGAGCTTTCAATGATCAAATGGTTAGAGAAAAATCTTTGAATGATGAAATGCTGAAGGTTGTAGATCAAATTTGGAAGTTCGTCCAGAGCTTCCTCGATGCAATTCTTGAACTGGAGGCAAATAGAGATTTGAACTTTGGTAAAGGATGTGTGCAAAATTTAAACGATTTTCTGAAAGAATATCAAGATAAGATCATCTTATTTAAAGACTATTGGGCGCCTGTGGCAGAGGCATACAAAAAGACTTCAAAATCCAAGAAGGGAGGTAACATATCATCGCCACCGTCTGGGAATGCCGTTGATGACATCGATCTCGCTTTTCATACGTATGTAACTAATTTTAAAACTATATTGTCACTTTGGGAGGAAGATTTTATAGAAAAAGTGTACGTGAATTCCGCCAAGTTCATTGATGACGCACAAAGTGTTTTGATGCGCCATTTGATAGAAGTTTCAAGTAGAATTGGTAACGGGCGAGTGTCTGAATTTTATCCTGATGCCGTACAAAAATGCAAGATAGCTCAAAACATAGTTAAGGACATGAAATTGATGGCATCAAAAAGATATTCAACTATGCGAAATGATATTTCTAAAAGGAAAGACGATCTATTAACTGATATAAAAAATATAGAAGCCGATTGGAATGATAACTCTCAAAGGACAATTCTAGGAAGATTAGAAAAGGCAAACAATAAAGAGTTTCAGAAAAAGATTAAAAAATTTGAAAATTCTTGGTTGTCTTTGAAACAATTTTCAATATTAACGATAGGAAATATATTACCAGCCACCGATTTTGCAAGCGTGTGTATTCAATGCTTGGAATTATTGATGATGGAAGGGGAAATGTGGGAAGCAATTGAATTGGGAAAACATTATAAGAAGTATGAACAAAATTTTAAAAAGTTCGATGAACAACGTGAAAGACTCTTAAAGGACTTTTGTCAGGGCGTTGAGACAGGACAAAAGGTCTTATCAGGTATTATTGGGCGTTTATTTCTGAAGGAAGCCCAAAGATTGCAGGAAGATTCCTTAGCGTTAAAAAAGCAAGATGCATTCTTAAATTCTATTGATCAAGGAAAAATAGATTCGTCAAAGAAAAAGAAAGGAGACAAGAATTTATCTGAAGATACTGGATTAGTGAAAAATGAAATTTCTTCAGAAGAAACAAAAAAGAACAAAAAGAAGAACAAAAAGAAAATGTCAAGCGAAAGTCAACCAAAAATGGAAAACCCATTGGAACCTTCCATCGATGATGGAGTTATGTCAACTGCATCAGATTCCAAAAAGATCATGCAACAAAAACTATTGGAAAATATGATAGCGGAAAATAGTACCATGAATTACGAAAGCTTACTGTCGTTTGACGGGAATCTCGTTTTGGATGACTGTTTGAATGACACTCAAGCTATTGAAAGTCAACTGTCCGTTCCACCTGGTCTCAATTCAAATACAATAGATATTCAACGGCAGTCTATTGCTGATTCACAACACGGTCTTGCAAATCCATTCAATCTTGATGAATTGGATCGCTCTAATTTAATTTCTGTTATTCAATGTCTTACTAGTGAAAAGACTCAATTAATTTCTTCACTACTTTCTTTACAACACGAACTGCAGTCTATGAATATACGATACGCAAAGTTACTTGAGGTATCGCGTGATCGAGAATTTCAAAACTTCCAGATATTGGAAACACGCAAACAGGAAATGGAAGAAAAAATGAGATATATCCAAAAATTGGAGTTACGAATAAGCCAATTGGAAAGTCAAAATCAAACAGGTAGTATTTCAGAATCGATCAGTCCGATTAATAATTCTTTACCTGGGAGTCCAAGCACAAACCAAATCACGCAATTATCGTACGGGCCCATAATTTTTCCAGCAACTTCTCATGCAGGGAATTCAGTGCTCGGGTCAAATAGATACGTGAATCCGTGGCGTAGTAGTAATGTAAATCGAAATGGTGTCCGCTCGACAAACAATCTACGTTGTGGAAATTGTGGAGAACTAGGACACGTTAGTCAAGAGTGTAGTACTGGTTGTAGATATTGCAGCAGTTTTGAACACCTGAGCGAGAGCTGTAATTTGTCCGGATATGAGGACAATTTAACACAAACTGGAATTAACAAAGAAGAAATTTCCACGAGTAATAATAGAATTATTGTTGAGTCGAATGAGTCAAAGTGAATTGTACTCTGATGATAGATATTTTGCATGCTTTTTGTATTTATTTTTGTAAAAAATGGGAAATTTATTTAGGTGTCCAAAATTCTCTATCGAATGAAGTTTACCCTGATTAAATAATTACCTTGCCGAAAACTTTAAATTCTTTTATCAAATTCTATTTATATACAGTATACTACACCACAAATAACTGTAACATATAAACTTACTTTTACAATCAAAGCTATGTATTATGAAATATTATACTGAGATTCGTAATTATATTGTTAATAATTTTCTTAATTTTCATAAAAAAGTGCACGCCGCTTTAATATTGCTTGAAGATAGGGGGTTAACATAAACGTTTAAAACGTATATGTGTCAATTTAATTGATGTTGTTTTTAAATAATTATACTTATATTAAAACTTAAATAACAAAAAAAAAATGTTTATATATTAATATCATCTAATTAAACAAAATTATTTAATTCTAACAATAAAAAAATTTATTAAGTTTTATAATTATATTTAAAAAATATAATTTTAGTTAATAAAAAATAATTATAAAATATTATAAATGGAAGCTGTTATTTAAAAAAATTTTTTTTAATAGTTATTAAATATAAAACCAAATTAAATTATTTTTTAAATAAATTATATCATAATAATTTATAATTAAAATATTATAAAATAAAATAATATTATTTACTTTTTATTATACATTAACTTATGTACTATAGTGATTAGAAGTATCTGTATTTCTTTTAAAAATTTGATTTTTATTATATTGGCCTGAAAATTTTAACATTAATAACTTGTAATCATCTTTTTTTTTCAAATTTGATTAATTACAAAATCAAAAGTTAGATAAAAATCAAAGATGTAAGTTACTTTTTTTTAAGAATATTTTTTAATTAAAAAATTAAATAAAATTAAAATTAATTTAATGTTTATATAGTTAAAAATTTTTTAAAAATTCTATATCAAAACTCAAGTCTCTTTATATTAATAATAAAAATTTAAATATATTTAAATAAGTATAATATTTAATATTAGAGGATATTATAAACAAGATATTATTTATAATTAATAAAAGAAAGTTTTATTAAATTAGAAAGAAATCAAACAATTTAATTATTTTTCAAAGAAAAAAGATTTTTTATATAAATAATTTTCTATATAATTTATATAATCTTTTTAATTCTTCAAAAATTATATATATATAATAATAAATAATAATAAATAATAAACATTAATGCAATTAATTAATATAATATCAAACTATTTATAGAAATATTTCTTAAAATTAAATAACTTAAATAAAATCAATAATAAAAATTCTATAATTATTTCAATAATTATTTTATATTAAATATGGATTTTAAATATTATATGATCTAAATATTTTATAAAAAATAGATAACTTTAAATATTTTTATTTTTAGAAGTCTTAGAAAGATATTATTTGTAATATTGTATTCTTATTACTAAGTTCCTTGATATAAATTTATTTGTATTACTTATGTAATTAATTAATATTACTTATTTGTATTTTATTATATTTTTTTTAGTTATTATAATTTTTTTTACATTGTTACAATTATCAATTAATAAAAAATTAAATATGAAAATTTATTATTATACCATTTAAAAAATTTGTTTAAAAATAATAATCTTATTAATTTTATTATATAATTTATTATTTTTTTTTTTATAAATTATATAGTAAAATTAATAAAGATTATTATATTTAAATAAAATTTTTCAAGTAATATAATATTAAACTTTAATGTTTAAAATTTTATTATTAGTATAAATAATTTGAATTTTAATATATAATTTTTTAAAAAATTTTAACTATATAAATATTATATTATTTCTATTTTTATTTGAATTTTTTAGAAAAAAATAAATAATTTATGAGTTATAATAAATTATTTATATTGAAATTTTTAAACAAATACAATAAAAATTAAATTTTTTAAAAAAATACTGATATAATATAGAAAAAAAAATAATTGAAAAAATTAAAACTTATAATTTTTATTAATAATTTAATAAATAGTTAAATAATTAAAATAAAAATAAACATGTATATATTTGGAAATATAAAAAATAGAAATGTATAAAAAGTTTTTTAAATATATTATTAAAATAATAATTAAAAAAAGATATCAATTTAAATTTTTTTATTTTTTTATAATTATAAAAAAATAATAATATCAATTATTAAAATTATTTTAATATAAAAATTAATAAAATATAGATAAATAAAACTTTAAAATAGTTTTATTATTATTTTTATATTATTAACAAAATTTTTTTAAAAAAATTTTTATAATTTAATATTAAGTTACTTATTTTTTATATTAATTTAATAATATAAATTTTATTAAAAAGATAATTAATTATTATATGATTTTTGTTCCTAGTTCAATATTTATAGAGAGCAAAAAATGTATAAATTTATTTTTCATTTGTGGATTTACTGGTTTTCCTACAAATGTCATATTCCAAACATCCGGATCCAAACCAAATTTAGTTAAGCTGTATAAAAATAGGACCTCTAGTCTATACATGTGGTGTAAATTATTTTGCTGTTAACTCAATTGCCAAAATTCTTAAAAATAATTGTGTCTGACTCAATTATTTTATATGTTTTAATAGTGACTCAATTAATTGCGTCAAATAATTGCGTCA